ACAAGCCCAGAAGCAACAGGCAAATCAATTATGGGCTAAAATCTCCAAAACACTATGAGCCAAAGTAAATCTTTTCTCTTTATAAACGTGTTTATCTCAGCTATTTGTTATAGTTGTGGAAAGCTGGCTAACACCCTGATTGTTGTATTCGTCTCTGGGATGGCCTCCCTGCCCTTGGACTTCCATGGATTCTGTTCTAAATGTGACATCACAGTGATCCTGTTATAAGCACCAGTGGGTAGTAGGACTATGGAAACACACCGCATAGGAAAAGGCCTTGGCCTACAGTATTATACAGGCAAGGAGAGAAGAGACAAAGGGATGCACCTGACAGGAAGTGTTACTAAGTGACATAGAGAAAAATAAGGCCAGGAGGACCGGGGGAGGTTGTCCTTTGTATACGGTAATACAACTTTGTATAAGGAAATACAATTTTATGTAAAGTGAAACTTGATGGCTCTTCACCTTATACAGCACAGAACTGAAAGTCTTTTTATGTTGCTCACAAGACCCTACAGGATTAGATCCTTGTCACCTTTTGCATGTGATCCTCTCTCCCTATCCTCACTGTCCCCCAGGCAGAGTTATCCCTCATTCCTTAAACACACTTAGCACATTAGCACCTCGCAGACTTTGCATCAGTGATTCTCCCTGCCAGGGGAACTTTTCCCCCAAGTACCAGATGTCCGCTTGATACCTTGTCAGTGAGGCTTTCTCTGCCTTATATAAAACATCAGCGTCTCTTGCCCTCATGCCTCTTTCCTGGACTTATTTTTCTGCACGTATTTTACTACCATCTACCACCACATACATTTATTTATTTGTCTTTTCCCTGCCTGCCCTTTTGACATTATAAGACAAGGGTTTTGCCTGTTTTACACATTACCGTATTGCTAATGTCTGGAACATAATTAGTATTCATTAACATTGTTGTACAGTCTATAGTTCCTGTGTGTGTGTGTGTGTGTGTGTGTGTGTGTGTGTATGTCAAGGTTTCTCTGAGTATAAAACTGTGGGCAAATTGCTAAGCAAAGAATTTCTTTAAGAAGAACTTTAGCAGCTGTCTGCAAGTTGTTTTCCAAAATGGTTGTATTAGTTTTCTTTCTACCTGCTTTGTTTCTGAATTCCCTTATTTTTAGCAAACCTTGGTATTATGAGTCTTTCTTGTTTTCACCAATAATAGTGATAATTTTTAGCCACCTAGAAATGTTGATCTATAAGCTTAGAAGATATATATTATGTAATACTAGAAGAAAATGGATCAAAATATCGATACACTCTTAGTGTCTGGGCAACACTATAAGGGGTAATGGCTAGTGAAGAAGCCTTATGCCTCGGGGGTGTCTTTCCTGGGTTCTATATATTTTGTTCTTCTTTTTTACCTTAATAGCACCACGGGACTGTTTTTCCTCTTACCAGCCCATACAAATGAGGAGCAAAGTCCCCAAAAGTTCTCTTAGTAAGCGTGTGACGAAGAGAGACAGGGTCAGTTTGCAGAGCCTGCCTCTCTGCCCTCCAAGACTAGCAATACTGAGGCTGGAAGAAGGAACTATTTGGTTGGAGGAAGAGTTGGGGTTTTAGAGTCCAAGGAGGCAACACCAGATTAATGAGCTTTTGCCTTGAGAATCTAAGAACTGAATGGAAAGCATTTAGGTGACAAACTACTGAATATGGGCAACTCTCCTGCAGGCCCTCTCACAGGGTCCATCCACTGAGCTGCAGTTCTTGGTGAGAATGGGTGCCATGAAGGAAAGCCCTTGCCCTATCAAGATAGAATGGCCAAACATTATAGAAAATTTCCCCATAAGCTGGAAAAATGGCTGACATGCAGCCATTTATTATTTTAGTTTTCAAATTTCCACTACCTGCTTTCAATTTTAAGAAATATATTTCATGTCTGGGTTTTCTTTTAATACTCTGTCTAGCCAGATATTCCCAGTGCAGCCTCTTACCAGAAGATTATTAAAACACAGCTGAAAAATGAAAACTCATAGCACACGTTAAAAACAACAAACTGGCAATTAATCTATTGTAGGGATCTTGGAGAATTTTCTGCTATCTACAAGACCTACAGAGACGAATGGTTACCATAAACTGAGGCAACACATGCTTTGTTACATAAAACAGAAAACCCATCAACCTTAAACATATATTTCAGTAGACACTTGATTCTTTACTGCTTGTGTGTCCTATCTTTCCCCTTCCATTCTGTGGTGGCAATGTCCAACAGAACTCTCTGTGATGATTGGAATATTTTAGAATCTGCAGTGTCCAACTCAGTAGCCAGTATACATGTATGGGTATTAGATATTGGAAATATGGTTAGTAAATTCAAGGGACAGAATTTTTAAAACTTCAAAACATCCTTTAAGGATCATTTTCTAATTCATCTTTCCAAGTCCTACCTGTATAGGGAGGGGCTCTGTGCCTGATTGAGAAACCTGTGTTATATAGTTTGAACAATTAACTTGAACATGCTCATTTTGGTCCAATATTTAATTTACTGAAAGAACAGTGTAGATAATTCATCATTTAAAAAATCATATTCTGATTCATGATTTCAGACCTCCATGTGTAGCGCATACACCTAAAGGCCTGATGTGTGCCCCATTAAGAAACCTTTGAAACTCACCTTGTTAAATGAACTAATCTAAAGGTTATCAGTTTGCTATAATGTTCAAAGAATTTACTGAGAGAACATTGTTAAAAACTCATCTTTTGACAATTAAGAATGAAGTCTATCATTGATTTCAAGAACTCTGTATATACCCCGCCTGATTTAAATGTAATTCATGTGTATTTAATTTGTATCACCACATGTGGCTAGTTGGTCAGGAAAGAGCTGTACCAATCAGAAAGTAGGGCAGCCTTTCTTTTGCTGCTCGGCATTGCATTTTTATGTCATCAAGTGTGGTTCCTCCTCTGCGCTCACTGTAAACATTCTTTCCATGAATCAAAGCAATCAAGGAAACTTCAGGTACAAAGTAGTGGAGACAGAAAATAATAGGCCATGAGAATTACTCTATATCCTGGAGAAAGTACTGATAATTATGCGGTTTAGACAGGGACCTGGCAGCATGCATGATATAGGGGTATTAGAGTTCTTTTACACAGTCTCTTCAGAGGGACAGAAAGCAAGTAAGAGAGATAGCTGATTATTATTCAACTCAGCAGGACAGATGTAGATGGAAGCCAAGTAAACCCTGGATTGAGTCAGGAGTCTGTGCATAGACTCCGGCCTATGTCTGAAGTCCTGAGACAGAGATCCTATTAAGCCACAAGCAGATACATGATAAAGGCAAAGAGAGGAAGGTCAGCAAGCACAACAGGCCTTGTCTGTAGAACAACAGCTCTGGACAGCCCCACCCTGATTTTAGACAAATAAAGAGATATAAGAAAACACAAAGTTGCTTTAAAACTACAGATGAATAAGAAGGAAAAATCACTTTGAAAACACTCCCCAAACATGGCTAATTCACTCCAGGTATCAAAAGAAAGTTTTAGAAAAGTATTTAACATATTTAATAACTTACAAAATAGTTGGCATTTTGAAACACAAATAGAATACCGTAAGAGAGGATAAGCTGAGGTAGAAAGGAAATCAGAGAAGCATGAAAAAAAATACAGGATCGAATCAAAACTTGCATTGGAGGCAAAAAAATAAAATAAAAAATAAAATTTACACAAAAACTAAATCAAGGATATTTAGGAGAAAAATGAGTTGTTCTTGTAGAAAGCAGAGAAAATTAATGAAAGAAAATATACAAGATAAATAATAAAGATCAAGCTAAAGAAATGCAGACTTTCCTGGGAAAGAAAAAGAGTTAAAACTAAAATAGTAAAGATAATAAAAATCAGTTTCTCAGTAGTGCAAGACAATACATACATATAAATTTATCATGTCACAATACTAATATTAATGAGAAGAGAAACACATCCAAAATATTCTGGAAATTTTTGAATTGCAAGGATAAATTTAAAATTCCCCAAACACTTAAAGCAAATCAAACTAGAGATTAAAACAAAAAAATAGATTTTTCTACAAAGGCTTCAAACTGCTGGTGCGAATTTTGTCCTCTATAATAATAAAGACCAAAAGAGAGCACAGTAGCAACTATAGAGAAAGGAGAACAGAACAAAGATTGCCAAGGATTTTCTAGGTCTGAGTTGTCATTTGTGTGCAAAGCTAAGAAGAAGACATTACCACAAAGGCAAGAACTCAGAAAAAAAAAAACTCTTATCTTTTTGAGAATAAAAAGAACACTTGAAGATGTACCTCAATTCGAATGACATTAAGTGTAGATGCTCTTGACTTACGGTAGTGTTAACGTGTCCCAGTAGATCCACCATGAGCTGGGAAGATCACTAAATTGGAAATGCATTTCTTTTGAACATCTCCGCACACCACAGAGCAGCTCCTCACAGTGCAGAACCTCAGCTGCTCGCTCTCTGAAGCACATGGCAGCCTCTCTGCCAGTACTTTCGAGCATCACTAGAGGGGATCACACCAATTGCTAGCCCTGGGAAAGAGCCAAATCCGGAATTCCAAGTACAATTACTACTGAATTCATATCACCTTTGCATCACTGTGGAGTCAAAAATCCTAAATTCGACCACTAAAACCCATAGTTGATATTGGGGAAATCATGGTATAAAAATGTCTATAGTGAGTTAGTTTAAAAGTTAAATCCAAAAGAAAATTACAAAAATAGAAATCACAGTAATAAAATACAGTAATAGAATTACAAAAATAGAAGTTCCACCTGTGTTTATGGAAGAGAAATACAAAGCAATAATTTTATGATGCCATCCAGGTAGGCAATCACAGCCTATTTTAACAGAGAACTAGAAGCAGAAAGGAGGGAGCATCTTATTCGGGAGGGAGCAAAAGATACCACTTCCATCTGGTCTTCCAATGTTAAAAGGCTGTAATTTAAAATATGTCTTTGAAAAACTGGAAAGCAGTAACAAACATAATTATAATTAGGATAAATACCTACCAGATATCTGCAGCTGATAAGGGAAATGCATTTCCATTCTCCTCTTATTTTGCTCCCTTCCTCCATTACAATATGAGATCCTCAGGGAGAGTGAGTGTGTTTTATTCTCTATTCATTCCTGCTATCAATGGAAACAGTGTGTGTGTGTGTGTGTGTGTGTGTGTGTGTGTGTGTGTGTGTGTTTGTATTTAAGTTATACCTTCTTATGTAGACAATTATATAATTTCCTTTTTAATTTTTCTGTGCTTTAATTCTTAATTTTTCTAAACCCTGAAAGCCATTAGTAAGCGATTTTTTCCAAATATTTTTATAGTTTTGATTTTGAACAACCTAATTCACTACCCCATATAGAATTTATTCAGATCATACAGTATGAGGTTAGGATTTTCCAGCACTACCTGTGAAATAATATTCTCTCCTCACTGGTTTGTGATGCTTTTTTTTTTTTTTTTTTTTTTTTTTTTTTTTTTTTTATATCTAACACATTGTTATGTGTTAGGATCTTTTCCCTGGCTGTCTTTTCTAGTCATTGCTCTATTGGTTGACTTTTGCATCATGACCACACTATTTTTATCCTTATATATTTAAAATATATGTTGCTATCAGAAAAGATAAGACTGAATCTGTTTAATTTTCAATTATAATATTAGATAGTACATAACAGTATTTATTTGTGGTAAAGATAAAAATGAAGGAATCTAAATATTAAAAAATAGAGATATAATACTGACAATAGACAAATGGGTTAAAAATACATCCATATAATAGTTACTTATACATCAAATAGATAACAGTTCATGGCTACAGCTAAAGTAACACCTGTCTGCAGGAATGTACTTAAAATAAACACCATTTCCCTGGTTTGAAAATAGCATTGCCCAAAGAACAATGTTCTCATATTCCACACTGGCTGCTGCCACGAGGGATCCCTGTGATATATTAAAAATCTCATTTCTAAAGAATGATTAATGACTTGAAAGACCATTTATGGCAAAGTGACAAGTATAAAATCAGGATAGAAAACCGAAAATGCAATGTGAGTCCAATGTTGATTTAAAATCTCTGCATATTTTAAAGGCTAAATAGACAATAGAACAAAATGCCAAAGGTTTACAGTGTGATGCAGAGGATTTTTCTTTTTACATTTTTATAGTTGCCAATTTTTCCATGAATTATACTTTCATGTTTATAACTTTTACCCGCCCCCCCCCCGCATCAAAACATCACATGGAGAGGAGAGGAAAACATTTATTCTGAGGTTTTTACCAAGGTAGACCACCACTAGAGTTCAGGGCTGCTTGGCGTAGACCCTGCCAGCTTCACGTTGGGTTATCCCAGGCAGATGGCATTGGTTTCTGATGACTGAAGATGCCTGAGTCACTGGGCCTGCCCATACCCTGGCTTGCTAGCCTCAGCCACAGTCCCCTCACAGCCTCCAGTCTGCAGCCTTAACCCAGCACCATGCAGAATGTGCAGCCCTGTGAGGAGACTTGGGGGAAAAACTGTAGTGGTCCTTTCACTTCACTACCATCCCTGCCACTCCCATAAAACTAAGCCTCAGAATATTTGGCTATGAATGCTCCATTACACAGCCTTTTAAATCCATAAATCCCACCATATTGGGAAGAGATGTAGAAAGAAGGAGAATATTTCCCGTCCAGGGTCTTTTCCAGTTGTTCGCTGTCATCTGGGAAATAACTAGGTAATGAATCTCAAATTCATATCTTTTTCCTTTCTGACTACTGTTTGCCCTGCTTTACTTCATGGTTTATTGCTCTGCTTCTTTAATAAGCACTGTGCTTGACAAGTTCCCTTGTCTTTGGAGAGGCTGTCAATCTGCACCTGTGATGTAAGTCAACTGTGTGCTACTTGCTCTGGGGATGAATGTTGGAATATCCCCATCTGTGGAAAGAAGCAAGGCAAGGGACTGATGGTGTGTAAGAATGGGCTCATCTGTCACAGGTGTGGGACACCACACAATGTGTCCACGGTGGGATTTCATCAGACCCTCACAAAGGCCCCCAGACGTCATAATCTCCACTTTACAAACAAGGAAAATAAGGGCCAAAGAATTTTGAATTTTCTCATAGCTACATGATGGTAAGTAACAGAGACAGGGCCTCAAGTCTTCTGGATCACCTTTTGACTATAATGATCATGCGTTTAGGATCACATAGCTATCCCTGAATCAACTTTCTTTATAAAGAGCCACAAAGAGCTTAAAATAAATGTTCTCTCAAGGAGATTGATCAATAGTTTCAAGGCCCTGGTATGTGATTTGTTCAGGAAGAAGTTAGAAAGCTGCTCATCAGAGTCTAGGGAGAAAGATAGGAAACTCCAAATTGGCAGAATCTGAAGAAATCAGCCCAAATTTGTAGCTCTTTCCCAGGGGCCATTTCCTAAAATCAAATAAAACTATGGGTAGATTTCATCTATAGAGTTATATAAACCATAAAAACTAGAGGCCAGTATGAATCAGACCTAAATAAGGACAGAAAACGCATATGATTTATTACTAAAATAACAATTTAAAAGGGGGAAAATAAATCAATATTCAGCATCTTCATGGAAAGCTAACCTTGGGAAGATGTTAGCAGTGGGATCCTAAGTGGCATAACAACATTTGAAATTTCCTACCAATCGTGATATATGTACAATATGTACAAGTAATACATTTGCTGCTCTTATAATTTGGCATTCACTCATTAATACTCATTAAAAGCAAATATATTAGAGTCAAACAATTCTTAATTTTATACCATGTCGTGTTTGTTCAGGTTTATTTAACATCAAACAAATCATAGCTAATGGCAGTAGCTAAGTTAACACCAATGTACATGAAGTTCCTTAAAATGAACTCCACTTCCATGTTAGAAACTATCTATGCCCACAGAATGATGCCATCATAGCCCACTTGGATGCCAAGATGGGAGTCTCCTGCGCACAGCTGCCGTGTCTGGGAACCAAGGGGTTAGCCTCAGACTTGCCCCTTAGCCTTACTGTTGCATCAGGAGAATGGGGAACTCTACGATCTTCCTATAGGTCTCATTGCTTCTGGAGGAAAAGCTCTGTGGCATCAGGGACCATGTCCACACATTCAGCACTTTGTACTTAGAGTATCATGGTGTTTTATAAATATTCATCAATAGTCACAAGAGGTGATGCTCATAAAGTTCTTAATAAACATGATGACTAATCTTGACTGACAATGTGATTGACTTGAGAGATACCTAGGAGATTAGTAAAGCATAGTTCCAGGTATGTCTTGCTGGCTCATGGGGGCATAACCTGGGGGACTACATGCAGTTCCTGGCCCCTTCCTCTCTGATATTTCCCCATCAGCTCTGCTTCTTGACTCCCAGGAGTGACTAGCTCTCCTCCACCATGACCTTCTGCCATGATGCGTGTTTCTAGGACCCAGCGGACCATGGACTGAATCCTCTAAAACTATGAGCCAAGATAAACTTTTTTAAAAAAAATGTAAGTTCTGTATGTCAGGAACTTTCTCCTAGCAAAGGAAAGCAGACTAGCACAGCAAATGATAAAGCATGGTTTAGATGCTTGGTCTATCAGTAATAACTATAATCTGTATGAATGTAACTATAGGCCAGGAATGACAGGCTTTACATGTATGTTATGGCTTGTGTTTAGATGTCCCCAAAATTTCATGCTGGCATAGATGGCTTTTTCAGAGGTGGCTAGTTTGACAGTGTGTGATGCTAGAATGTATTCATGTTTCAAAACTAGGCTCAAGTTACTAGGATTGAGGGTATGAGTGCTACCCACCTTAAATAGTCTGGATAAAATAAAAGGGGCCAAAAGACTCTGAGGAGGCCCCTGGTTGCTTTTGCTGCCTTCCTCCCACTATGAACTGTTGCCCTTCTGCCATGTGCTACTCTGCCTTGGAGCCGGTCGATTATGGACTAAAGTCTCTGCAAACTGTGAGTGAACTAAATAAACCTTTCCTCCTTTAACTTTGGTGTTGGGTATTTTGTCTCAGCTGCAAGAGAAGAGCAGCTAACACAACACATCTTATTTGACATTCACAACGATCCTCTGAGCTGGGTATTATGTTATGACCCATATTCTGCAGATGAGGTGACTGACATTGCCTATGGCTAAGGACAAGTAACAGAGCCAACCTTAGGGTTAGAAGCATGTGATCTCTGTGCCTGTGAACTATGCCCTCCTCTGCTCTGCCCTTAGCTTCTAACAAGATTTTCCTAGGTGTATATATCATTTCTTCCAGGATAAGTGGCTTTTTTTCATTCATTCATTTATAAATTAATTCAATAATTTGATTATCTTGCATGTGGAGAAAGCAATGTACTAGGCCCCATGAGAAAGTAGACTCAAGAAACCAGTTATTCCCAAAGGAATAACTCTAGGTGGGAAAAGAAGCCACACAGAGATAATATATCAGTTAGGGTTCACTAACGGAATGGATTTAAAATATACTAAGACTTTCAAGTAGTTTTGCAATGGCTGCCTATTGAATCAAGGATGGAAGAATGGAAAAGGGATGTCTGCCTGCTGGAGAGCTGGAGGATCCAGTCAGAAGTTGAAGGCCTGGAGCTCTCTGCAGAGTTCAGTGTGAGTCCATGTTGGGAAGCCAAAGGGTCTGTTTTGGAAGGCTGAAGTCTGCACTGGTAGCCTGAAGGAACAGGATACAAATATCCAAAGGCAAAGGTGCAGACTGGAGCTCCCCTGCAGAGGCAAAAGGTAGGTCTTCTTCACTTCTTTTCCTTATTATTCCATCCAGGCTACAAGCCTACTTATTAGCTAATGCCACCCACATCCCCAGGGTAGGTTTTCCTTCTAAGACACACCTAGACGTATGTTCTATTAATCCAATTGATGTTTCTTAATCCATTCGAATTGACACCAAATTAACTGTCACAGACAAGGAATTCATTTAGTGGTGGAAAGTGTGAATGAAGATTCCACAGTCCCCATCATAAACACTTTCGCAGCTATAGACAGGTGTTAGGGCATCCAGAGAAGAGTGTGGTCACGGTGGCTGGGTCATCTAGGAAAGTTTCAGAAAGGAAGGTGGATCTAGCCTGA